TTCCTTCCTTCCTTCCTTCTTTCTTTCTTTCTTTCTTTCTTTCTTTCTTTCTTTCTTTCTTTCTTTCTTTCTTTCTTTCTTTCTTTCTTTCTTTTTGTTTTTTGAGACCAGGTCTCATGTAGCCCATATCTGCTTTGAACTCACTATATAGCTAAGACCTTCCTTCCTCTGTCTATCTTGAGTGCTAACATGTCACCATGTTAGCATGCCGTGACATGTTAGCATGCCTGCTCCTCTTTATTCTTTATGTTTGTTGGGGACCAAAGAAATCTAAGAAGCATGTTACAGTAGTAGCTAACTCACTATATATATATATATATATATATATATATATATATATATATATATATCTGTGTGTGTGTGTGTGTGTGTCTCCAGATATTGCATTAACTGCTTTTTATTTCCTAGCATAAATTAGTTATGCAAAATGATTAGCTTCATAATAAATTTTTTGACTATATCATATACTTTGCTTATCTTCACACACACACACACACACACACACACACACACTGCATTCTCTTGTCCCTAGTCTCCTGCCCACTGTTCACTTCATCTTCCTACGTGGTCTCCAGGAGAGATGGCTCAGTGGTTGAGAATAAGAGACCTGTTCTTCCAAGTTCAGTTCCCAGCACCTGTATGAGAGTGGCTCACAAATGCTTAGAACTCTAGCCGCAGGTGTTCCAGTGCCTTATTCTGGCCTACTTAGGCACCTGTACTCATGAGGGCAAACCTACTCTCAGATGTACACAGATCATATAATTTTAAAAGTAAAGGATAAATTTTAAGTAGCCTCCATTTTACTTTTATGCCAGAGAAAGAGAGACAGAGACAGACAGAGAGACAGAGACAGAGACAGAGACACAGAGAGAGAGAGATGAGAGAGATAAAGGGAAAACATGTGAAACGTGAGGTTGTGGTTGTTTTCTGAGTCTGGCTTGTTCTGACTAACGTGATGATGTCCATTCATCCATTTTCCTACACATGACATAATTTCATTCTTTATGGCTGAATAAACTCTGTTATTGTGTAAACCCCACCTTTTTGTCCAATATCTGCTCATCTGCAGATTGGCACCAAGGCTGCTGTGTGTCCCTGTTACTGAGAATCACTCTTCCCATCCCACTGGCCCTCACCACAGCCCCAGGAGACACATTACTTAGAACCCTCCCTTCCTTTTATTCTTTATGGCAACTGAGATTCACAGAAGGTGATCGTTGTGCTCAGGGTAACACAATCGACGAGCAACAGTGCTGGGATTTACACTGTATTTATTTATTTATCTCTGTGTGTGCATGTACATGCATGTGCTTGTACACACACATACGTGTACACCAATCATGGCCCATGAGTGGAGGCCAGCGGACAGTCTGTAGGAGTCAAGTCTCTCCTCTGCGGTGTAGGTACCAGGGATCAAACTCAAGCTGTAAGGCTCATCAGCCAGCACCTTTCCCCCGAACCCTCTCGCTGGCCATAGTAGAAGTAGGTTGATTATAAAGTCTGTATTCAAACTGAAATATATACTGCATGCCATAAAAAGCAGCTTTTAAAACTCGGAATTCCTTTTTCTGCCCTGTTTTATTGCCAGCGGTTAATAAAACAATCAGCACACTGCTTGCTCTATATTAGAGATGTATTCCCTAGAATACCATGTGAAAATTTAATTCTGATAGATCAAATTTGATTTTAAATGTGTAAAGGGATTTGCTAGTAAAAAGTACTCCTCCATAGTCCACTGAAGCACTGGAGTTGTCTCTACAGCTTTCTCGTGGTAAATGCTGGAGGGTCTTGTATTTTCTGAGGGGTTGACAGGCTGAGAGAGGCCTCTTTGCAGTCATCTGCCAGAGCACAGAATTTGAGAGTGCTAATGGTGAGTGGGAAGAATCGATTTTAGCAGCCATTCCAAGAGTTTATGGAGACTCAGAGAAGAAGCCACCGAAGCAAGGGGATGCCAAGCTGCAGGAAGAGCTCCCGAGGGGCTCAGCGGCCGTGCCTTAAATAAAAGCAAGAAATACAGAAAAACAGAATACACACCAGGGTCCTTCCCCATCCTCAGCACCACTGTAAAAATTGCCAGCCTGGGCTACTTAGCTATTAATATATAGTGACTGCTGGGCTAGCTTGGGATACTGTGTGAGACCCTGTCCCAAGAGAGACAGTGAGTGAAGGATGAGTGTAAAGAGAAGTCAGACAAGCTTCAGCTATGGAAAAGCAGCTAATGTCCGCCATGGTGACAGATTCAACAGGACACTGCTCTTGCCATGGCCACAGAACAAGCTGGACTGCTAGGTTGCTTGCATAAGTCCAAGTGAGTAGTTCAGAGCTTTAAGCCAAAGCTTTTATTTTTATTTGTACTTATTTATTTATTTTTAGGAAAAGCACTTCACAGTCCAGGTCCTTTACTTCTTGTTGTACATTAGGTCATGAATTCATGTGGAATGGGCTCCGGCCGCTCAGGCTCCTTCCTGTCAGTCCTCACAAACTGTGCTTCTCTGGGCGGAGTGGGCTGGCGCTTCAACTGAACCCAGGTGCCCTTCTCTTTGGCTTCCTTTTTTCTTCTGATCATTTTCTTCCCTCACTTCAGGAAGTTGTCTCAGCCCTTAGGGTACTTGACATGCTCAATCTGCACATTAATTCTTTTGGCAAGAATCTTGTCCTTAACTTGCTTGTTCACAGTGATGCCCACGGCATGCTGGGTGACATTGTAGACTCTTCGTTTTTTTGCCATGGTAACACTGTTGGGACATTCCTTTTTGAACAGGGACCATTCCCTTGATGTCTACAACTCCTCAAAGGCCCAGAGAACATGAGCGAGTGCCCTCCTCTTAACCTGTGTTTGTAACTTTGGCGAATTACTGGAAGTTGGCTGCCGCAGCCTGGCAAAGCTTTTATTTTTTACAGTCTGCACCTTTTAAGAACTTAAAATTTGTCTATGTAGGCCGTGACATCTTAGGAACTGTCAAGATGGAACCGTGTAGCTGAGGGAAGTGCCAGCCAGGGGTTCTGGTTGTCGTCCACTTGCGCCCACGTGCTGTGAAAGGCCAGCTACTCTGAGTGGCCAGCCCAGGGCTCTCCTGCGCTATGCACCGCCACTCTGTCACCTCAGCTTGCGCGCCTTCCCACAGACCAGGCTCCAGCCATGCTGGCCTATGCTGCACTGTGAATGTGAGCCTCTGTTGGCCTCATTCCTCCTCCTACTGAACTCCAGCCTCTCCTTATATCTTTCCTCTTGGAAGCCCCATCCCATACCTTCCCATAGTGCTTTGCACACACCTCTACAACCCACATTATTACTGTATTTCTGTGCAAGACTCCCACTTTGTTTATAAACTCTGGAAAAATCGCTTCTCTGCCTCTTGGCTACAAGTGAAGCTCATATACATCCAGAATATAATTTTCCCCTATTTCCATCTCTTAGCTCCTTTCTACTCACCAAACTTCTTCCCAGAGAGTCTCTCTCCTTCTTTCATGCCTTTGTGTATGTGTGGTTGACCACCGCACCACTGCCTTAATTAGGGTGGCGTGCATGAGCATGGGGGAGGGTTATTGACTTGAATAAGGGCAGCTTACCAGAGGCCAAAGACCAAGGAACATGCCTCCCCCTCTCCCAACCACCATTAAGGGCCTGTAGTTCCTTAGGGAAGGGTGGCGACCTTATGAGCCCTTCCCCCATGAGTGATGGCATGTTGATGGGCCAGGCTTGTACAGAGCTTTTGCAGGTAGCCGTTGCTGCTGGGGCACGGTGAGCCCCCTGGTGTAAACGCATGTCCAGTCTAGAAGACAGCCAGCTTTCCCAGCACCCCACCCCCCACCCCCCAGCTCTGCATTCTTCCCATCCCTCTTCTTCAGTGTTTGCTGAACCCTGGAGTGGGTGGTAGTGATGTATTTTGGGCTGAGCACTGATGAGTCACTTTTTCTCAGCACTTTGGCCAGTTTTTAAGGATAACCTTGAGCACCTCTCTGGCCTGACTTGCTGTAAAGTTGTCCAACACAAAAGAACTCTGGGTGGGTCCATCTTTTCGGTCAGCATTCACTTACCTGTTAGCGCCCAGAATGGAGCCGGAGTGTGCACACACAGCTCAGCATGACTTTAGAACTGATACTTTTAATCCTGAGCGGATGACAGTTCCTATGACCAGTTTCTTCCTCCAGTGTCTCGTTAAACAGAGAAAAGGTGTTGAGCAGAGCAGGCTTCTTGCAGAACTTACTCTTCCCAGCTGGGGCGCCTCAGGTGGGAAGGTGTGGGATGCAGGGATCACCTGCACCAAACCTCCACAAACTGTTCACTGACAGGAAAGGGGACCTTAAGCACTGGGCTCAGGAGGTTGTGAGGAAAACCAAGGAAGAATCATGCACAACGATGACTTTTATGCTGAGGTTGGGGGTCAGTAGTGGGCTGAGATGCTCCAGCCCATAGCCAAGTGTCCATGGCCTTTTCACTCAGAGACCCCCATCTCATACCAACAACACAGACTTTCAGAGGGTCTCCAACCTGTTTGTTACATTTCTGCTTTTCTTACTTAAAACTGTAGGCTGCAGATTGAGGGAGGCTACCTTTTTGGATGGCGTTCTGAGGTCATGTCTAAGTGGCCTAT